GTGCACAGTTACGAAGGACTATTGCTGGAATTCCATCTGGCCCGCTAGCTTTATTCACGTCTAGATTTCGCAGAGTTCTAAGTACCTCTTTTTGGCGTATGCGAACTGGCGCCATAGTGCAGCCAGCCTGAGGTAAAGTAGGTGGTAGGGTCCCTGCGGCATCTAGACGCGAATTTTCTGCAAAGAGTGAGGCAAAGAGATTCGCCTTCTCTTCCGCAGTATGAGCCAGCGAGCCATCCGGCCTCAGCAGAGGTGGCAAAGATGGGCGACAAAAGTTCGATTCGACCGCTTTGGCCAGGGACCAAAAGGATTTGCTGCCTGCTGGATAAGAGGCAAGCTTGGCTCCTATGCGGCGCACATGGTCGAACTTGGCCCTACGTAACATGCTTTTGCACTTCTTGGCGGCCTTATTAAAAGCTTTCTTCATGTTCTGAGTACTCGGAGTTTTGCGTAGTCGAGCATCTGCCCAAGCTTGGTACGCGGACTGTTTACGTGCTTCAGCACAACTACAATTAGCGTTAAACCATGGACGAGCTTGGGGTCCATTGGGTACATCAGAGTATGGAATGTAATACTCCATACCCAAACGCAAGACCTCGACTACAGCATCAGCACAGCTCGACGAGTCTCCTGAAGTAAAGCACGCCTGCCAGAGATATGACGCAAAGAAATGGCGCATTTCGTCCCAATCTGCTAACTTGTATCGCCACACCCGTCTCATACCACTAGGGCCCTGATCGGGTGGGGAGTATACGGATACAGTTTTCACCAGACAATGGTCGGAAGTACCCAGTGGGGCCTCCACAACCACAGAGTATCGGTCCGGATCAGTTGTCAGCAGAAGGTCCAAGCAATTAGCCGTATGAGATTCAACATCTGGTATCCTAGTGGCGCCACTGACAAGCTGGGATAAGCTTAGCGTTAACGCAAGTTTACGCGTCTCTCTCCCAGCGTGATCGGTCTTCTGGTATGGGAACAACCATTCTTGATGGTGTGCATTAAAGTCCCCCAGAATGACTAGTTGCGCCGCTGGGTACCTATGCTGAATCTCATCAGACGTCTCACTTAGATATTGGAACAGCTTGGTCGTCTCCTGATCTCCACTGTGCGATCGGTAAACACAGCAGTACACTATTTGTGTAACTCCTGTGAATTTGACATTTTTATTGTTTTTCTTGTTCTTTTCGCTAAAGCGCACCCCTTTTTTAGGTTTTCGCCAGCGTTAAGTTTGTGAACATATCGATACTTCAGAGAAGAAAAACCGTAAATGCCAATTATTTAAAAAAATGTATTGATATAATTTGGTTACAATTTTCAAGCTCTTTCCATTTGTTTAGTCGAAGAAATATTTTAAATTTATTCGTAAAAATAGGCTTAATAATTTAAAATTATTTTGGCCTATTATCCTGTTCATAATTGTAAAGATATGTTTTTAATTTGCATGCAAACTTTGTAGTTTGACTTTAACGTTTAACGCCTTTTTGCACTGAAGTATTGATATAGTTGAAAATATTTGTTTTAGTTATTTGTTATTGTAAGATGAATCTTGGGTTTCAAAAGCGAACACTATCGACTATTCGCTCTACGTCTGAAAAAATATCATAATATTGGTTACCACAGTTATTTAGGAGAGAGGTGATATTAGTTTAAGTCAAGTTTCAGTTATAATAAGATCGGTTAAAATTTTTATTGATTTTCTAATCAAAACGATGCAATGAGATTATGATATCAAGTTTCTAACATAAATATGATTTTTTGTACTAGTTATTTTGTGGGCTGAATAGTTCTTCCTATTTAAAAACGTCCTAAGACTGATTTTCCTTATTTTGTGTTTAATTTCTTCCGAATTTATAATTATTTTTTTCTATTTTACTTGCACGAGTCACTAAGTTATCTGTTGAAGATTGCAGCCGTTGCAGAAGAAAAATAAAATCTGCACTCAAGCACCTACATTGTATAGCATCTTCAGCTTTACATTTAAAATTCACATTTGTGCCACTTATGATATTTAGAATTATGGCATCACCGAAATAAGTCGTGCTATCTGAATATTTGTTAAAGTATTATTCACAATTTTGCTGTTGTCGTAGATTGTTTGTACCATTATTTTTTTAACGCATACTTAATTTATAATGAAAATAATACTTTGAAAGATAACTTGGTGTTTTGTGAAGTGAAGGGGTCGAGGGAAGAATCGGTTAAGTCAAGGTTTTGGTAAAATTTATATAATATGTATTCATATAAATTGTAAATAGAATATCAAGTGTTTTATAGTGCTTACTTATATGCACATCTTAGATTGTGAAATTTAAAAGGTTCTTTCTAAACCCCTTAAAAGCAAAAGTCATTCGGTATGGAAAATATAAAATGACAAATTTATGCGTTTTATATTATTAAGACTATTATATTTTAAGACTTGTAATCTTTTCTCTGTTCTTACTTAAACTTGTTGTTATTGTTGGTGTCTATGCATTTCAAAACCAAAGTACTCCCATTGTTCTATTTGTATGAGTAATTATATAAGTATTCGACTTGTAAAAGTTATTCATAGAAGGAAAGCAGTATGATGTCTAAAATCTCTGTGCCAAGATTCCATTAACATCTAAGGTAAACAAACACATAAAGGTCAAAACACAGTCATCGACAGAGCAAAAAGAACTGTCAGATTACTGTTAGCATACTTTCGCATCGATGTTACTAGTGACATCCCGTAGAGCTCACAGACGTTTACAATTTGGAACCAATCCATATTCCCATAGTCCTATCAACTATCTTGGTTATATGGGCCGGAACTGTGAGAAGCATGTCGTACTTGCTTGAGACTGTACAAAAGCATAAGTCAGCCTCCTTGTCACACTATGGTCACTTTTCTCATTTACGGGCTTATCTATTACAATTTCCATGTATATTATCCCAAATTTGTAACTTCATCGCGATACTGGTATAAATCCTAATTCTCTTCAGTTTTGAAACCTGTGAAAACTATTGGTGTATGAAAACGAACTGGTAGATACCGTTTTGGTAATAAACGTATGTCATAAAAAAGTATAAGTCACATTTCAAATAAATGAACGAGTATACGACCAATTCCGTCATGGACACTACAATTTTTTTTTTAATTTTGATGTGTATCGGTTCTTGAAGAGCTTAAATTTAAACAACGATTTGTGCCATATGTATATTTATTTGTAAATAAAAAATCATTTAAAATAATTGCTAATACAGTTTGTAATATTGGTTTTATAAGTCACATCACATTATTCAAACAAACTTAATAAATACCATGTATCACCTTACAGTGTGCTTCCTCCACCCATTCGTATGCTGCTTATGACGTAGTCAAATAATTTGTCACTAAACTTCCATATTTAGCTCCAATTTTGACTAAGCAGCTTCTTTAATCGAGATCTGTGCCAAATTACTGTGTATTCCCTTCTTGCTGTTATAACTGGTTCTCAATGTAAATTCTTGTTGATAATTATAATCTATAATCTAATCGTATTTAATAGTGGGCCATCAAAAGACCAAAAATGTCAAGTAAATACATAATGAATTAGTTTTATGACGGTTGAACTGAAACGAAGCATTATAAAAAATGATGAACGGGAGTAATTTATATGCAAAGAAATAATCAGTATAGATAATCTTTACTTGCAAACAATTTTCCTTACCAAGTAAGTTGAGTATTTAAAATAACAGCATGTTTCGCGTAACGCGTGCAGTATTAGCTGGGTCTGCTCTCACCCTTAATATGATTAATTATGGATTGTTTGTTACAAAATATTTATAGTTTTCACTTTTGTCTGTAGTGTGTAGTTTTCTCGTTAAAATCAGTCTAAATAACTTGTACCAATTTTGCAAAGTAATAACTGCTGAATTGAGAAATTTCTGCTTGTTTTTTCAATTAGTTTTAAAAAATGTGTGATGCTTACTAACTATGCTCAGAATCTTCATATTACACTATTTTTGTATTATGGGAAGTTTAAAGTTAAATGTTTAAGTAATTATTACTAAAAAGATTGCATTTATTGTTATCGAATTTATTTTGTGTTATTTTAAATAAATTATTGGTAATTTTTAAAATTGTTGTATTATAATGGAGTCATATTATTGTTCATAAGTTATGTGGACATAGTATAAAAGGAGCCTTATTAATAGATGTAAGTATCTACCTAATAAAAATTTCTCTACTCAACGGGGTGTTTTCTTTTATTTACATAATCCTACTACTTCCAGCTTGACCATAATCGCGTATTTCAAATTTACTGGTCGAGTAACAAGTCCACATTTAGTCTGTTGTAGTCGCAAAAAACTAGATTTAGTCAGTTTGCCGATTCAAAGTCGAAACTGCCCACGCTGGAATAAACTTTTTTCCAACGGGATTTTTCAACCTCACGAAACCAGGAAATCCTCAAAATTTATTTAGCTGCTTCTACGTTTGTAAAATAAAGTAGTCCTTAGTACCTACCTACTAATACAAACTTATTATTTCCATTGAAATGATTATTTCATTTCGTTTTGTAAGGTTATTTTTTAAACTTCCCGCCAATTGTCTTCGTGAAAAATGTCAACACAGGTACAACCATAGATTTAGTATAGGTAGAACAGGGTCAAGAGCACTTCAAGATTTACACTTAAGACTCAAATCCTTGTGAGTATAGTGTTCTGTGCTCAAATCCAACTTGCCAAGATGTAATGAAAATGTTTATCTAAAAGCAAATTACAGAAAAAGAGAAAAAAAATTAGGAAAAAAATCCTTTTCAGTTTTTACCTTTGAGGATGGACAAAAATAAAAGAAGTATAGTCTAAGGTTTAATAGTCTTAAGGTTTTTACCTTAGAGGATGGAAAAGTTTTTACTGACTCCATCGTTTTCGTTTCGTTCAGTATCTTTGACAGGTGTCAATTGTGGAAAAATATTCTTTACATACTTTTGAACGAATTTTATGAAGTTTATTTATTGATTCCTGAACGCGTTACAGTAGTGTCATTTTTCATTATCATGGCGGAGGACGACGATGGTGTTTCGAATAAGAAATCGCCTCAAAATTCAAATAATGAAGCCTCCTCGCAAGAAAATGAGCAAAATACGGCAAAACCAGACCTAGGCATCGAAGAAGCAAAGTATAATAGCAACGAAAATGGGGATACATCTCCCACTGAGCCGAAATGCTCGACATCGAGTGAGTGTTTTACGAAGTTGTTTTTTGTTCGCTAAATATAAAGACATTCCTCAGCGACCATCCTTTTTGTTCCAGAATCGACGGGGGCGACACGGAAGGAAGAGAATCCGTTCTCATTCAGGCATTTCTTGAAACGCGACCTGTCGTTACCAGGCAACTCGACTTACGAAAACACGGGAGCGCGACCCAAAGTTTACGCAAATACAGTTCAACACTCGCCCACTAAAATAGACATTCACGCAGAGTCGCGTCGAGACAAAGGTCGGTCCTCCACGTCTAGCGAGCCTCAAGCCAAAGAAAAAAGCGGTGAAGGCAGCAGCCACCGTATCAGTGATAATACGTCTTCGAGTAGTTCAGTAGAGATACCTTTTAGTGTAGTGGATAATTCTGAGTCTAAGCATAACTTTTACGAGGACACTTCTGATGTGCCGTTTTATCATAGACCCAATTTAGCATCAGAGCCTTTAGGCATGCCGTCACTACCGGATTTTGTGCAAGATCATATTTTGGTGGAGCAAGCGTATTTGAGCTCAAATGGGCCCATTTCAGTGGATTTAGACAATTTGCCAGATTTTACGTTTAATACTAGTTTCAATGCGGGCTCATCGTCTTCATTGGGGAGGAGGAACAATGCCAGCTATAGTGGTAATAGGGGTTATGACTATGACACATACATGGGGGCTGCATCGGCATCTGCAGATTTTGGCACGGCCAGCAGGGATATACCACTGGACCTGCCAGCAGGGGCAGAGGCTGCTGGACCCATGCAGGACCCACCAGTGCATCTGAGCTTGGATCTGACGGAGTCGGTGAACCCAGCAGACCGGAGGAACATGTCTCCAAGGAATAACATGAACAACTTTCCACTTGATCTGCCTCCTAATGCAGGTATGTTCACTGCACTTTTGGAATTAAATTTACACTAGCAATTAACACTACACTTTTAACTTAAAAATTACAAGCGTTCTTAATTTTCAAACATGTATTAATGATTTTTTACTACAAGCTTCATAAATATGTTTTATATATATTTCCTTTTTTTGTTTTTATGTAATGGTACAAACACAATTTTAAAACAATACAAAGGAAAAACATCAGTAAAACAGCATTTCAATGACAACTGTACCTAGCATTCAGAAATAAGAAAATATAAATTGTGTGATTTTGGAAATGTAACAAAGAAAGAAAGTCAAAATAAACAAAATTACCTAATAAAAATAAAATAAATAATATAAAAAAATAAAATAATAAATTTAAATATAAAACTAAAATATTTCTATATTTTATACTACTATATTGTATACACATCCATCTTAAAATTTCAAAGTTGAAATTAACTGTGTGGTGTCAGACTTTTTAAATGCATGAATGCTATCGTGGATTATGGTTACAACAAATTTGATTATATGATCTACGCATTCGGCGAATTGGGCTATTTGCCGAAACAATTATTAAATATATGATTACCTTTTTAAAACATGTCTAATTATAATAATAAAATTAAAGTTATAAATATGTGATTATTACTTTAAATATATGATGAATTTATTTAAAATATGTCTAATTATAATAATAAAATTAAATTTATAAATATGTGAAAATATTAGTTTTGTAATATTTTCTTAATTTTGAATTTAATTTAGATTCTCTGAATAATTTTGCGATAAACTGCAAAGTTGACAAATTTGCGTTAACTTATTAATTTCAACTTTTCAATGTACTATGCTTGTCTTAAGAACACACAATTGTGCCCCAAATCAGTTATAATAAATTAAAATTAGCTAATAGTACAAAAGTATAAAATTTGTGTACAATTTTGTTATCGTTTTCCTTGCTTTCAATGTCTTGATTGTAGTTAATTAAGTTAATTAAGTAAATTAAGTCGAAAGTTGTAGTTAGTTGGTGTGAGCTGATACACAATCACAAGTACAGGCAATTTAAAGGTAAATGTTTATTGAAAGCTTAAGAATACAAGTTATAATGGATGGTAGAGTGATCAATCGCAACTGCATAATAATGTCAACTGAACTGGAATGAATTTGATGCGCTGAAAATCAACTGGACGCTCAGCACAAAAATAATCTTGTACGTTAACCGTGCACACAGGACAGTTCAGTAAAATGAAATTTTGAGTTATAGAATAGTTTTTCAAATAGAATTGAACTTCATTCTAATTTACCAATCTACATTTTCGGGACTCATTAATTCAAGAGACTTTGAAACCTCTTATGGACTAATGCAATAGATGACTGATCAATTACAAGAAATAAAAATGTCAAAAAATTTAAATTCTATAATGTTAATATAAATCAGGCATTTGTACTTACATTTTATCATTACGACATAAAGGTAATGTATTTAAATTACCCATTGTTAAGTTCTGGAAAAATTACAATATATCTTTGTTTGATATACTTATAATTCATTTGACGGCGTATATAATCGCTCATTTGGTGCTACATTGACGTAATTGTAATTGTGTCAAAATTTAATTAAGTAGTAACACATTGTACAAGCACCAAATGAGCGATAGGTACACACGCCAGCACATCAAGCTACACATTGACGTATCTGTTCTGTTGCACTGGAGGCGATTTTCGAACAAAAATGTGTAGTCTGGTGTGCCGTTGTCCGTACATAGATTTTATGACAGGCATGTAAAGTACTTTATAAAATTAATCGATTTTGATTGTTTTGCCACAAATTTTTTGGTATATTTCAGAGTTACGCTAAATTCCCTAATGGACTGTATGTGAACGTTTTCTTAAATAGCAACTTTTTTCAACCCACCTCAGAATTCGATGTAGATTGTCTGTGTTTTTTATGCTGTCTTGGCTTCAAGCTGTAATTAGCAGTGATTATAATAGATTAATTGCTGTTTGCAGTGGAGACAAGTGGCTACAAGGGCTCAGAATAAACCATCTTAATTATAATATTAATGTAGTAATGCAGCAAGCGGTGCAGCTTGTTACGGCACATATCTTATTTTATCTGCTTCCATGGCCGTATGATTACCATGCAGTTCACTGCCGCGCAAGAGGTGCCGGGTTCGATTCCCGGGCGGGGATAAATATTTGTATGGTCTACATTTATTTCTGTCGTGCGTTTGGGTGTAATTAGTTGTTGTCTATGTGTGTGTTCATGCCACCCGCGATACAAGGTTTCTCTAGTGCGAGGCTATGAGTGTGTGCGAAAAATAATTAAATAAATATTATTCGCCGGTTATTATCACTGCTGGGGAGTATGTACTGTCTCTTCAACTTTAAAAGTAAAAAAATGGTCTTTTATCCCCATCTGACACCAATGCTATAATGGAGGAAATCCTGGAATGTGAACGCAGAGCCAGGAATGTGATTTTGGTTGGTGTTAAAGAATGTATCTCTGAAAATGGCAGCGACCGAAAGACGCATGATGAATCAACTGTAAAGAAACTTTGATTGGATATGAACAGTGGAGGCGACTACTCGCATAAAGTGATGACTGTGCAACGCTTGGGACGTCGTGAAGATGGCAAAACCAGACCTGTAAAGGTGGTAATTTTTGTTCCGCCATGATGCGGTCTCGATACTTAAGAACAAAAGTAAGGCCAAAAAGGAGGTAAGAATTCATGATGAGAAAACACCTAAGCAGCGTGAGTAAAGAACTGGAGTAAAGAAGGGGGAAACTTACCTCACAATTAGATATGTGAATGGTGTACCTAAAATTGTAAACCAAAAAAACTAATCGACTATAATAGAAATCCTTATATTGACCTTTCATTTATGTGCACTAATTTGTTCTCTCTACCGCCTAAATTTGATCTGTTACTACTCTATGTAAACTCAAAAAAAAAAAACAACTTTTGTTATTCTCACGGAAACATGGTTAAACAGTAAAGATCTCAACAGTACATATAGCATACCGAGCTACACTTTGTTCAGACTAGACCATAAACTTATGAAAAATCATTTTCAAAGCAATACCAGAGGTGGATGTGTGCCAATGTATGTTAGAGACAACTTAAATGGGATACCGATAGTTGCTAGACGTAATCAGAGATACATGTGTGAAGATGTGGAAGCTCTTTACCTAGATATTCAGATTAACACCTATCACTTTGTACTGGTAGGGGTGTATCGACCTCACGGTATAAACGAAGAGACATGGAGAGCAATGACACCAAACTGTGGACAAACCTTTTGGCAGCCTCGGAAAACCATACTATAATCATTGCTGGCGATTTTAAGTATCCCACTATTAAATGGCCAATTCTCATAGATCAGCACCAAATAGGGCAAGCAGGAATTTTTAAAGACATGTTTGTTAGCGGTAATCTCTTCCAACTTGTTAATAGTCTTACAAGGTTCCAGCAGAATCAGGCTCCCTCACTTTTGGACCTGGTAATGGTTAATGAGGAGACTTTGATTAAGGAAATAGTTCATAAACCACTCATAGGTAAAAGCGACCACTGTATGCTAGAGTTCAGTTTCCAATATCAGGTACAAACATTAAATAACTCAACCAAGTTTAAACGATATTGTGAATCTATTAACTTTGACCACTATAACACAGATTTAGCCAAGAACCTTCACACTGTAAACCTTACAGGTGACACAGAACAGTTGTGGTCAGGAATCTTGAAAGCAGTCAACACCACCACAGACCAGACAAGCATGCCCCAGAAAAGATAGTTAAAAATAAAACTAAAAATAAGCCTTGGGTCAATGAATGTGTTCTCAATCTAGTTGTACATAAAAAACTGCTATGGGATAAATACAGATCTTCTGGCTCAGGCGGTAATTACATGAAATTCCGTGAGATTAGCAACAGGTGTGTTGCTCTATCTAGGAAACAAAGAAGCGTGTACGAATCAAAAATATTGGAACATAGTGACAAAGCCTTCTACTCTCACATACGCCGATGCACATCTACCAAAGTAAACATCCCACCAGCAATTAGCAGTTATAATGTAGACATAGTAACGAATACCAGTGATATAGCGGAGGTATTTGCAGAGGAATTTTTAAAAGCTTACTCAGAAGAACCCGTCATAGACCAACACACCACAATAGCCTCAGTTGCCCGAGTAGAAAATAGTTTAAGTGACGTTACATTCACGATAAAAGATGTGCAAGAAACTGTCAAAATTGAACACACAATCCACTCGTGGACCTGACAAACTACGAAGTAGCATTCTCAAACACTGTGTAAAGGTCTTAATGTGTGGGATGTTTAAGGAAAGTATGTTCGGAAAAATGGTCTTTCAACATTTGTGAGAGCTATAATCTGTCATTTTTGAAGATGGAGTAAAATGACAGCTCATTGTGGTAAAGCGTTGCTCGCTTGCTAGCAGCTAGTGATTGCAGTCGAAAAATATTATATCGATGCATGTTGGTTACGCTTATGAAATAAACAGCCGAAATTGTTTCATTTTATTCATCGTCGGCCCATTATACACACACAACTGCTGGCCACAGGTTCATTTGACTTGTTAATTTTTGAAAATTCATTCATTATATACACTAAAATTAAAAGTAAGCCTATTGAAAATACAAATAGGTGACATATTTTAAAGTTTTCTTATTTTAATTTAATATACTTAATCAAATCCGCCTGTCTTTATTAAAATGATTAAGAATTGATTTTGGCAATAATACAGTCAACTGTCAAAATAAGAATAAAGAATAACGCAATTGGTAATCATTTTGTACTTTGTAACATTAACATTTTGACGTTTTTGGCTAAATTTTACCTACTTTCACAATCCATTGATAGACCTGTTGACAACAACTACATGACTATTTAAAATTTTACGAGAACTTGCCACCCTGCTAATGTCATTTTACTCGATCTTCAAAAAAAATCAGACTGTAATGACCCCTGACCCTCCAACGTCCATTTACACAAATCAAAAACAATTCTATGAATAGAATGAAACAAGGTGACAAAACGAGAAACTACAGACAAATCCGACAACCTATTGTTTCTGCTATTGCTTAAAAATCTTAAAGAAACTTACTAAATAAAAATATATTTTATAGGCTATTGCGATTGTAATGTATATGAAAGGAATGTGACCAATGGGTTTTTCACTTTGAATGTATTCTTTTTTTATAGTTAATTTTACTTCTTTATTCTATTGTTCTGGTAATATTTGTCAGTGAAATTAGATTCTAACAGTTTTTGTATGTTATTTATTTCAAATACTTTTATTATTTGACCAATTGTTATTAGTCCATATTTGTTACTCGCGTCCATGTGTTTGACACTAAACTTTATTCATTTAGGCCAGAATATGTTATGTTATTTATGTTGCATAGTGAAGTTTTCTCAATTTTTGATTCTGTGAATGTTATTTAAGTAAAATAAAAACTTGTAATTAAAAAAAAACATATGTAATGTTTTCTATGAGTAATAGAAATTGTTAATTCTACAGCATAGTTTCCCAAATTGGCTCCTACCTGGAGGGATCCAATGGGCTCTGAAGAGTCCTAGGGTAGGGGCCTCGGAAGCAAATGGGCGGCGTTCATGCATTCCAGGGAGTGCTACCGCAATTAAAAAATTTTATCTACATAAACTACACTACAAATGTATTTTTTTTTTCTTGTAATTTTTTGTGTTAAGTTAATATTAAAAAAAGTGTATTTTAATATTAGGAATGTTGCACAATCTGAATTTTAAAAATTTATTTAGCTAATGTTTAGTTTTTTCTGTACTCTAAGCTTAAATGAAATAATTTGCCGGACTGCCACGCTGAAGTTCCAAGTTCGATACCCGGACCGGGAGAAATATTTGTATGGTCTACATTTATTTCTCTCGTGAGTTTGGGTGTAATTAGTGGCTGTCTATGTGTGCGTCCATGGCATCCGCGACACTGGGTTTCTCTAGTGCGGTGCTATGTTGAGTGTGTGCGTTATAAAATTCAGATTTTTCGGGCATGAAAACTTTTTGCGTATAAGAGAAGTACAATAAGAAAAGTGCAATTAAATTTCAAATTTCTATTCATGTAATATAAAACCCCGTGGGTGTAATTCAGCATATTACAGCCGACTTTGCCTGCGTGTTATGGCACTGTTTACGAGCAAGTGTGATGAAAAAGCCTTTACCGCCTTAGAACTGTATGATAAAAATACCGTTTGTATTTGCTGCACGTTATTTTTACTTTACTATTTACTTTAATTTGTGATTTTTTGTTACAAGTGTGTGTGATAAAAAATCTTTTATGTTGCAGGCGCTGAATCAATGCGCCTACCCGACTTCCTCCCAGTTCACCCTGGACGCACCTCGCCCGAGCCTGAACATCAGGACGAACAGTTGCAGCAGATCATGTCCGAGCTCACAAGGACAAGGTGGGGTTTTGTTTTACTATGTGATATAATGTAAACCGACCAGTAACTTCACACTTTAGTGTTCCCTTCTTATCCATCATTCTAATTTTTTGGAATTTATTATGACAAATAGAGTATAATAAAGTCAACTCAAACATGCAAATGTGTCTTGGTTTCATGGGCAAGTAAATTGCGTTTGAAATCGTTACATAGATTACACTTTATTACATTTTTCACAAGGTAGATTCCGTTGAGAAGAACGAGTAGGAAACTCTTGGGGCTGATCTTTGTTAATATTTTGTTCTTTGGAAAATACATTTGTTCACATATCGTCGCCATTCTTTCTCAAACTCGTATTTTAAAGCACAAAATTACTGAAATGCAGAAAATGGATTGTGTATACAAACTTTGCAGGCTAATTTCACATCACATTTCCTTTATATTCACCATTGACTTACAATTATATGGACGTCGGGTCCGCGCTAAAAAGTGTCTGAACTTATAGGGCGTTAAAATCGTATACAGAGCGTCATTCACGCTTTGGTCTTCGTTTGTTCGACTGACAGCGAAGTAAGCAAAATTAGACAGTACTGCGATGACATTACAATTTAAATTCAACGTTTTAGCTTTTTCATATTCCTTTACATGTCACTACGTTTAAATAGGTTGACTTGGGACATTTTTTTCGTGGTTTTTGTATTAGACCCGTTGTCCATTTATTTGTAAGTAAGTATGATATTCATACTGGCTTTTACCTATTCTTAAAGTAATACGTCCAAATTAACACACTTGATAAGAAATTTATAATAAATCGAAAGTTTTGCCATCTCCGGAATAACCATATTTATTTATTTATTTATTACAGTCGACCCAAATGCAATAGTAAGACTTAAAGTTAAATAAACAATAAATCTTTAGTCAATTCAAAAGTGAATAAAATATGAAAATTGATAAAATTATAAATACAATACCATAAACAATAAATTATTACAGATTAACATTAATGCCAAAAAAAAGATAAAATCCATTTGTTATTACATTTTAAACTAACACTTAATACTGCTGTCTCCGGTCAAGGACTCCAGATAGCGTCCTACGGAAAATATGAATTTTGTTTCTGAGCATGCAAAAAGGTACAATGAGGAGTCAAAGTTAAGCAACTGATTTAGATACCTAAGTGCTCGGGGCAGGGGGGCCATCTCACTCACTGTACATCTTGTGGTAGGTACTGCAAATAACCTCATTCTATGAAGTCGCACCAGATTAGTTCTAGGTACCATAAAGCCTACCTTGGACAACAAAAATGGGTTGTATATTACTCACTATTATTATATTAATCACTCTTTATGAGATACGAGTTTGAGAAAGTAAGGCATCGATATATCATTTACAATATTTATTTTAAATGATCGAGGCAACCTGAAAAGAATTTCGTAGTCTGGGGGTCGATTCAGAACCTTACGATAACTCCGATTCGATTTGATATCTACGTTTTCTTTTCATTTTTGTTCACAACACCCGAATCGAACATCAAACTGTCGTATTCGAAACCGAACCTAAATGACGTCAGTCCCGCACGATTACTTAAACTTCTCGGCCGGCAAAGGCTACAAACGTTATTCAGAACGCAGTTATCGAATGAAAGTTACCGAACGTCCTATTGTTTACAAAGCAAGAATGTAATACGGAATCTCTTATTATTTTAAATAAGTCTGGATTTTGTTAAATTTTATTAATGTATTTGAATGCAAGACTAAAAGCATTCTTATATTTTAGGCCTCCTTTTAAATACATTTTTATTTTTCTTATAATCTTTTTCACCGACTAACTCCGTAAACGCTGTTGGATAACGATATTGTATCCGAATCCGGACGTTTAACTCTGAATGTTCTGAATAGCTCGGAAAGCGCCCTTCGATTCGAGAACGACATCTAATTGAACAATTCGGTTAGAATATCGATGAGTTCACGTAAACGCCCAGTGTAGCGATCTGCGACTTTGAATTTTACTAATACTAATCATTCGAATGGGCAAATCGTTCGCCTATGTCGAATCCAAGCACAATTATTCAACTAGCGTCGGGTGCACGATCCGAATGATTATTATCGGAACTACCTGGAATTGTACCGATCATTCATCATGTCCGTATAAAAATATTCTTGTCCCCTTCACGGTTACGGTATTCATCGTATGTCAGAGAGGGCTAGGTGGAAATGCTCTATGGAATCTATGTATTAGTGATACTACTTTGGAATGAGTGATCATTCAGATCATACTAATTTGTCATTCGTATGACAGGATTAGTGTTACTAATGAGTCGAATATCGAAATCATTCGCAATTGCGCATCGCTAGCCCAGCGTACATTATTAAATTTAAAAAAATAAATTTAGCGCTTTGTATCCTATATATATTGCACCGTCGCTACAATAGTGTATTAACTCAAAAAGTGTATATTCTCCGAATAGATGACAAAACGAATTACTCGCTTCTCGTGAAAGATCATTAAAATGTATAGGCTATAGTTTATTACAGAGACTTTAAACAATTTCCTACTTGCCAAATACGTAAATACTACGCATATAAAGACTGTTTTGGCCAGAGCTGACTCACTTAAAATGTGTCTTTTGAGTTAAGTAGATATGTCCTTAATTGTTTCTTACAATATTCTGATGATGGTTGTATTAACCTGTAGAGAATCAAATTTTACCTTCAGTGATGATATAATATTGAATTGCACATATTTTGAGTTACAACTTGGACCTGAAGCGTGTAAATTACTTAGTACAGTATAATGTACACTGGGCGTTAACCGGGACGAAGTAGAGGTCAAAGTCAAAGATAATTAATCATTTATTCCATAGGTCACATTTTACACTTGAAAACGTCATTTTTAAGCTACTTTTTAAACTACTGCTCGTTCACTACGCAACCTCCCAGAGAAGAACTCAAGGGAAACTCTAGGGATTGCTCTTTTCAAATAAACTTAATTGCTTTGAATCATAATTGTGTGGAATCTAGACAATTGTTGTCTTTCCATACTTCTTTATCTAAAACATACTCTTCAATTTTGTATGTGACTTTGAGTGTGTGACTTTTCAATTAAAATACTCTTAATGTAAGTTCTTTTAATATAATTTCCAGAAACTTGTAAAAAAAACGTATACAGTTCACCTTAAAAGAATCGTTTACCTTGGTTAAACGAAATCGTGGTACCATGAGTTTGGACTTAGTTCTAAGTTTAATATTATGGATATCTTCTTTCTTAACGTAATTATGTATATTTTTACGGGCATACAAAATATTTGAGTAAATGTACTGTGATGCCACAGTCGTACCAGTCTCCTTAAACTGTTCTCTGTGAGAAACCCGAGTTTTAGCAATTGCTTTAAACGGGGAGTACGTGAACCGCCAGGTCGGAGCTGTTCACGGAGCGCAGTCGGCGCTCGCGGCTTGAGGGCGAGCTGAGCTCGTGGCGCGAGGCGGCGTCGCTGCTGCGCGCGGAGGCGGCGGCCGCCCGCGCCAAGGAGGCGGCCGCCAAGGCACGCCTGGCCGACGCGCGTCTGGCCGACCGCGACTACGCCGGCCAGCTGGACGCCGCCGCCGGCCGCGTCGAGACCAACATCGCGGACGCGGTGGTCAGTCTTCGGCTGCGTTCCCACTTTTACACTTTCACTGCAGATACCTCCAATTAACACTACGCCAACTTTATTCTTTGCTCATTTTCTATTATGTTTGTAAACAGCCATATTTCGATCCCTCCTACGTAAAGTATCGTATGTCGAAATTGCTTTAAAACGCTCCCTGTAAACTTGGCAATTTCGACATACTCTGGGTGAACGCCGTTGCAGAATTTTTTAATTTGTTTTAGCTAGCGGTTATATAACACATCATTATTATTACTTCGGGCATATATTTTTATCTCTCGCCTCTCCCATGGCCTAAACAACAATTTTTATGCACAGTCGACCGGGGTCAATGACTCGGGTTCAAGAACGGGGGAACGATGTGAGGGACGTTATTATAAGGGCGCGTTCCCATCAGTGTTGGGAATTAATCAATTAAATTTCAATCAATAATTCAATCAGATTAAAAAATCAATTCAATTGAAATCAATTGCAATTAACCCAACCGGGCCCCCTAACCTGCCCCCAACCGGCCCCCAACTGGCCCCCTAACCTGCCCCCAACAGGCCCCAACAACCAACGCCCTAACTCACCCCCATATGCCTTATAAATTTATCATAATTGTCAGCTTTAATTGTTAATTGTTAATCAAAAACATTGAAAAGATTGAAAATTGATTAATTGTTAATTGTAGATATTTGCGATTAACGATTGATCAATTGTTAGTTGCGAGAACCGCAATTAACAATTAATCAATTGTTAATTGCGGTTCTCGCAACTAACAATTGATCAATCGTTAATTGCTGTTTCGCAATTGACAATTAATCAATTGTCAATCTTTAATTGCCAGAACAATTAAATTTTGCCCAACACTGGTTCCCATTATGTCGTAAAGTTTTATTTATCGTTAGACGACTGTCGTTTTTAGCGTGTTCCCACATCTCGACTGTCTGTCGTGCGTGACTGTATCGTGCAATTTATACGATACGACGATAAATTGTCGCCACTATCCAGTGGGAACAGCATGACATGACTACCACTATAATAATGTCGCTCGCATCGTATCCCATTTCTTGAACCTGAGTCTTTGACCCCGGTCGACTATGCCATCCTAAGCAAAAAATGTATCGTTTAGGCCATGGGTGAGGCGAGATACTAAAATAGATACCCGAAATAATAAGCATGTGTCATATAACCACAAATTTTAGAAAAATTAATTTCCCAATTAGTTCTTGCCGGGAACCCGGAGTCTCCTCATTTAGCGTCCATTATTCAAACCGCTGGGCTACCGAAGCAATTATTATACTAAAGGAGGATATTTTATGTTACACGTTAATTCTTTTCTAGACTCGAGCGACAGAAGCCGAAGCGACAATCGCAAAACTTACAAAGGAAGTTAGGAAATTGAAGGTAAGCTAGAAATTTTAAAAAAAATGGCGTTGTTTGCTAACAAAAATTTAAAAAACACCCAAGTTTTATTATAATAGTTCCTTCGATACTCTTCCAGTGTTGAACCATAAAAAAGCACAACCGCTCTACCAACTGACTTGTTCGAGTCAGTGGATTGCAGAAATACAACTTACACCTACAAAAAAGTCCATTTCCAGTAAAGTCAGGGGTCTAAAAAGACCAAATCATGTAATTCTGCTAAAGGCAATTCATTTACAGAATTCCTTGTGAGTCTGTCGCAATTCTTCTTATATTCGTAAAACTGTTCCACATTCCAATTAATTGTGCCCAATTCAATTCACCAGCAGATTCTGCTTAGGTGTTGTAATTGCCACACATTATGTTGCCACATCAAAAAAACCAAAACCGTAATTTTACTGATTCTTTTTATTTTATAATATTCATAGATGGTTTGTTACGAGAATTTAGTGTAAGTATATTGATTGATAAAACAACTATATAAAAAGATTAAATTACTAAGAAACCAAGAATTTCATAAATTTTCCATGATTCGGCTGGCAACAAACAAGCTGTCAACGGCAAAATATTTGACATAAAAGCAATTTCTATTGTGTAGACCATTTCATACAACAGTGTCAAACAGATGAAGTGCGTTACATGAATTGTTAGCAATTCATAATATGAATTATCATCTGACCTCTTGTGTGTGTGACCTTTTTACGATTTTTTTAACGCACACACTCATACAGGATGAATGCATGCAGGATGCGGGGCTGCACTGGGGAAACCCTGTATCGGTGCCATGGACACACATATAGTCAACCACAAATTAGACCCATACAAATATTTTTCAAGATCCGGGAATCAAACCCGAGACTTCTGCGTGACAGTCCATCATGGTAACCGTTCGGCCGCGGAGGCAGTTTCAAAATATTAATGGAATTAGGATCATATTATGATTCTGCTAATGCGGCATTTTAGGCCCCCAGGGCAGCCAGCAATGTTCGTTGTCAAACTAGGCGAACCTGTACCTTAAGACTCAACTCACATTGGCGCAGAGTCGAAGCGTCGCGACGCGTCATGTTTTTCGCTTATAGCATATTCATCTCTATTCTCCCATAATTAAGGTACAAATTTGTGTTATGCAAATACGGAACCGCGCATCGAAAGTCGAGTTTCAGTCCAGTTCGAGCTAAAGTCGCTCTCTTTAAGTCGAGCGGTTTCGCGCATGCCCTTGCGTTCCTTGCAGTGAGGCGTCAGACGCCGACCACACTATGATCCGGGCGCGTTAATGCGAGTGTCGTCGCCATGCGTTGTAGTTGAAAAACAGGACGCGACGCGCCGCTTCGACTCTGCGCCAGTGTGAGTTGAGCCTAAGTGATTTGATCCATTAAGTTTCTTTTTTTTACCATAAAGAATAATTGTGAACAGTGAAACACACAACAGTTAAGATAAGGAAAAACCCAATTTTAAAAATGAATAATTAATTAAAAAATATGTTACCCATCAGGAGGAGCTAGCAGCGTCTCAAAGCGAAGTTCGATCGCTGCGCGGTCTGCAGAACAACGCCGCCACCGACCTGAGACACGCCACAACAGTCGCCGAGTCCTCGCTCAGGTACCGCTTTCATCTTTTCAGGTCTTGCATACTTCACTCACATCATCCCCTTTATCATGAACAGACGTAACGTAGACGTTTTCCCTTTTTACTTTTTATTTATTAATTTATTTATTTTATTTTTAAGGGTACAAACAGCTTGTATCACAATGTAATAGAAACTATATTAGTTACCTATCAGTAGACCGAAATTACATTTTCCAGAAATAACGCTTGCTCAAATTTTTATAACCTCGAAAGTTTGTAGTTTTCTTAAACCTAATTTAACCTAACCTAACCGAATCTAATGGTGTCTTTGCGATAGACATCCAACATATCCTGAAAGAACAATGGTTTCGTTACAATTCGGTTTTCAGTATAATGAAAATTCGAACAAACGTTATTCCGGAAACAAAAATTCGAGTTTGTGACAGGTTACCAACTATATTAAATAATTATAAGCAATAACACTAACAATAACTGATAAACATACAACAGCAAAGTACTAGACAACACTAAACAACTAAATGACATTGTAAACATACACATGAAGCAAAGAAACATTACGTAAACCAGCTTTAGTAATAAAAAATGAATTAGATAATACTTATCGAATTCTTAGGTCGCGATTGTTACACATAGGAAATGAAACTTTTGTTCCGGATTTAAATCGCGTATATTTGTTTTTTCAAACAAACCAACGTTTCGGGCCCTTCACAAAAATAATAAGTTAATAGTACAAAAAAAATAGTTTCATTTCGTATAGATAATACTTTCTTAACGTATAGCTTGTGTTAAAGAAATCAAATTTTTACTGAATTGATGTTCAATTATTTATTGTGAAATTACGTCACTGGTTTAGACGCTACGGCTAAAAAGTTGTTGAAAAACTAAATACAAAAAACTCAACAACAAGCACATAGAAAAATTCGTGAGGTTCGCTGGTTCGTTCTGTGGCTTAGTTGGTATAGCGTCTGGCACGGTATGCTAGAAGACATAGGTTCGAATTCGGCCGGATCGGAGGAATTTTTTCTGAGTGTTCGATCTTTGTATCAATAATTATAGCAGAAACATTGTTAAAGTTATTGCTCGCACGCCGTACAAACGAATTTCGTTTGTAATTTTGTAGAGCGATACATTAGTAATAATATGCCAGACTAAAGTGTAGTTGGTTCAGGCTACTCTATGGGCGCGTTTCCATTATGTCGCGACGACAGAAAGTCGTGTAGTTTAAAGTGTCGTGGCTTCTATATTTAAATGAAGTTGTTCACATATTAACTGTCGTTCACGACTTTTTTGACGTTACGACACTCAAGTTAAACTGGTTGATTTGAAGTGAAACAATTGACTACTCCCGTCAATTGTTTCGTATTCGGGCTGGTCAATCGGAGCGCAGTTGTCATCGTAATGATTTGGCAGAATAACGTTCAAACAAATTAAATGTAAAATTTCGTCTCTATTTCCGGTTATATACTCGATGGTCACTAATAACGTTGATGTAAGTAATTCATTTACACCAACGTCACGACAATGTTGATGTAAATCATTGACTTACAAATAAATGAACGACGGGTCTAATACAAAAACCACGAAAAAAAATGTCCCAAGTCAACCTATTTAAACGTAGTGACATGTAAAGGAATATGAAAAAGCTAAAACGTTGAATTTAAATTGTAATGTCATCGCAGTACTGTCTAATTTTGCTTGCTTCGTTGTCAGTCGAACAAACGAAGACTAAAGCGTGAATGACGTTCTGTATACGATTTTAACGCCCTATAAGTTCGGACACTTTTTAGCGCGGACCCTACGTCCATATAATTGTAAGTCAATGATGTAAATAATTCGTTTTCATCAACACAGTAAGGTAGTTCACAATATTAGGTTGAAGTTAAATGATAATGCACAATTACATGTCCCACGGCTATGCGGTATGGAGGGAAAGGATGTTAAAAATTGTAAATAGAATATTTTGCTTCCTGGAGACATTTTAAAGGGTGTATATTGTTACGTTAGCTGTCTGCTTATCCGCATTCTACAGGAGAGTGTGCGATGTAATTGCATATTTCGATTCCGCCATCCCCCTTGTCATTGGGGGACTCAACGTGGGCTGGGGTTCCACCCGTTGTTGTGGATATTCCCAGGCTTTGCACGAAACAGTTCGCTTCCACATGTATATGGCGCGTTCGCCACGCTTTGGAGTGGTATTCCCTGCCAGCGGACTTGTCTTGGACCTTTTCAAGGCGAGAGTAAATAGGATTATTTAGGTGTAGGATATAATAGGATTATTTATTTAGGTGCGTGCTACATCGTCGACCTTATTGTCACTTTCCATCAGGTGAGATGGAGGTCAAATGTGCACTTATTTTTAATTAAAAAAAAAACATAAATAGTAGATAACCTGCCACCGTACATAAGAAAATTTAAAATAAGCATTTTTTAAATGTAATTATTTCTGTCCAGGGACCTACTAGCGGGCTTGGAAAGGCTGAGATCACTGAGTTCCACACTGGACCCCACATGATACCAACGAGGTTCTCTTTCATTTATTTAATAATTTAACAATAACGCTGTTGATATGCCAATATGTATCGTGAAGCATCAATTTAACGCGGCATTGATTTATACATATATATTTTTTAATGTAATCTAAAAGTTTTAATAAATATGACAGTCACCAAGCATTAATTATAATCACTTATTTTTTTAAGGCCCGTGTACACGACGTTTGGTGCAAACTGCGCAACTATTCGGTCGGGTATGCATGTGTTTTGAGCTCGAAAGAGTTTTATCTGTAGATACACATTTGCGAAAGCTTAGTTGTACAATGTGCAAACCGTTTGCGCGCTAGCCACTGTCATGTGAACGGGCGTGTGAAGATAAATACGCGTTGTTTTTTCAGTTAGTGTAAACCCACATAAATTAAATATTAATAGAAAATGTGTTCTAACTATTGCTTAATTTCCATTCACATCACAAGTGTAAAATAGCAGAACTAAGAACTATTGTTAGAGCAGTCCAAGTGACCTACTTATCAGTTTTCAATCGAACATATTTTGGAGAGTGTACGCTGGAACTTCACAATTTACTGCTACCCTCGATTTCTCCCTCGATCACCCAGAAATTCCGGACCACTTTATCCTTATGTCATTGACCACCTATTCCCACGAAGTGCATTGCTTCGTCCTTCCTAATACGTACGGGAGAAGAATGGCATACATCTGTGTTTCCTGAAAAATAGAATTTGGGGTTATTCAAGCTAGAATGAATAGGCATTTTTTATTCAGACTCGTACCATGCTCTTTATTTTTTATATCACCAAGTGACGGGACGAATGAGTTGTGCGCATGGTGGTAAGCGAAACGTCTATACAAAACAGTTGCAGTGCCACTCAGAGCTTTAAATCGCAAAGATCTTAGGGGCACTGCCTCTGCACCCGTCACTCTGAGACGTTGACAAGTCCCATGTAGCTGTAATTTCACCAGCACCTTGCCCTACCCTAAAACCGAAACACAGTATAGCTCACATTACTGGTAGGCGACAGAAATAGGAAGGTGGCAGTACTTCCCTAGACGAACTCTTCCACAAGGAGCTCTACCTATTAAATATCTGACTTAATATAAAGATGAAATAAATTTATTTGAATATAACATAACGTAATACAATATAAGTAAAACAAATGTAAATAAAGGTATTATAGTATTAAAATAAGCAAAAGAAGGGAATCATGAAGGGAAGAAGAAGAATCAAGGGAAGTGATATATTAAATATATCAGGTCAGATTGTGGCCAAGGGTGAATCATCAATTTAAATGGGAAGAGATATTGAATAACATTCAAACCCGCCATTTCCGTATTTAGGCGCATAATACCAGACTACTCGATTATTCGGTATTTAGGCGCATAATACTAATCTTCAAGTTTGGTACAATGCGCCTAAAACATTTGGTACGTTAGTGGTTAATAAGTCACAGTTTTGGTGGATACCATAACATCGGTTCACAGCGCCGCTATACATCCTCGCACATCTCTGGTGGAACAGGAGAATGTTCGCTTTTCAAAGCTATGTAAGAGCGTAAGTCAAATAAATTACGACAAAATTGTTAGTTATGACAATCAGTAAGCAGATAAACGACGTATACCTACAACGTACGTTTGGTTTCTACATTTTTAACTATATAATATATATAACATATATATAATATATATATATAACATATATATAATATATATATATATATAACACGCTCGTCCAAATCAACCAATCTTACGTTTGTTTCTGTCAGAAAAAAGTGTCTCCTAGCAATTGCATTTTGAAGTGCTCAGAAGTTGTAGGTTATGCAAAACATTCTTTGGAACCCATCGACTTAACAATCGTCTCGTGCCAAAATTTAACGTATATGAGGCTGACAAAATATGCAACTCATTTCACTTTTCAATTCACGTTGAGGTACATAATATATTCAACTGTTTCGTGAAGAGGACAATTTTGAGTGCATATATTGCCTTTGCCTTCCTTGTTGCTCGATACATACTCCCTGAAATTATGAAAGTGAAGTCGTTGCTAGACCAACCTCCTGGATACACGAGTACGAATTGTAAAAACTCTTTGTACTCTTCTCTTTGATGGTTACCGACGTTTAGAACGTTTTGGATTCACGACCTCCGTGGTCAAGTGACTTGCTCACCGGTTTTCATGGTGTTTGTGACAGCGTCATTGTTTCAGATTTTCATAACATAAGTGCATTAGTTACTTACTTTGGGACAGTGTTCGGCAAAATTTAATTGTTTTGGCAATTAAAGATTGACAATTAATTAATTGTTAATTGCGAAACAGCAATTAACTTGATTTGATTGTTAGTTGCGAGAACCGCAATTAACAATTAATTAATTGTTAATTGTGGTTCTCGCAACTAACAACTGATCAATCCTTAATCGCGTATATCTACAATTAATCAATTTTCAATCTTTTCAATGTTTTTGATTAACAATTAACAATTAAAACTGACAATTATAATAAATTTATAGGGCATATAGGGGTGGGTTAGAGGGTGGGTTAGGGGGTGAATTAGGGCGTGGGTTAGGAGTCGGATTGAGGGGGTTAGGGTTAGGTTAAGGGTGGATGACACACAGGGACCCACACCCTGGGTCAACGGGTAGGTTAGGTTAGGGGGTGAGTGAGTGAGTTTGAGTGGGTGGGTTGAGTTAGGGAGTGGGGTTACTCACCCCTGACCAGCCCCCAACCGGCCCCCCAGCCAGCCCCCCAACTGGCCCCCCTACCGGCCCACCAACCGGCGCCCCAACCGACCCCCTAACCGAACCGACCGGTGCTTTAGGACACCCCTAATCCATACTCGTAATGACACTTTTATTCGGTTTAATTGTTAAGGCCCATTTAGAAGGAGAGAGTTTATCGCACACTTCATGACGAAAAATCGTACGCGATTATCGTAAGCAATAATCGCCATAAGATTATCGTATCGTAATGTTTACATTCAGGCAAGAACTAAAATCACGCCTACGATTACGTCATACGAGATTCGCAAGCAACTTAATCTCCCCCTCGACTGTTTACACAGAGAAATATGTAGTAAGGAGATTCTTGCTTACGAGTTTTCCACTTGTCGAATCAATTGCAATTAAAATCAATTGCAATTGATTTCAATTGAATTGATTTTTTAATCTGATTGAATTTCTGATTGAAATTTAATTGATTAACGCCCAACACTGCTTTGGGATCAGTGCGACGTATGTGATATTGTCTGATGTTGTCCAATCCTATTCAATTGAGGAGTCCGAGATCCTAAAAACTTACTACAAAGTACCTATTCTAGTTGCCAAATTCCTGTTATGGTTCCCACTTCACAGTACAAATAACTAAAAAAAAATTAAGAAATACATGAAAAGCCCATTAGTGCAACGCACTTCATTATTCGAAATGTCACAAGTATGGAATAAAAGTGACCAGTGTGTAACCCCTAAATATTATCCAATATTCTTGTAATTCAGCGTATACACCTTATGCAACACTGAGAGTCGGGGCGTAAGCAAAGTCACATGAAAATCACGTCTTTGGAAAAATGAAATACCCCTACCTACTTCGCAGAACTAATAATCAATATCCTTTTCACTTCTCATGCTCTAAAAGTACGTCTATATAGATTTACGTAACGGGAGTAAAGTGCATTCTAATCCTTAATAAAAAGTAGCTAATTTTTAATTTAGTTCGAGTGTACAAACTCAGACAGCCACTAGTAAGCTCGATTTTAGTTCCGTGCTTTTCCGCATAGACGGTGGCGCCATATTATTATCCCGCGGTACGTTTGTTGGATCTGTGTCTGGTTGGACAAAAAATCCGCGAAAATTTCAGAATTTTGATTCGTAATTTTGTAAAGCGAAAACGATTGAAATATTTTTTTTTCTCACAATCGAAGTGAAAAGTAAAATTTTCACCTCGAAACTAAAAGCCAATACAAACCTCGGAGTAATAAATACCCTATATTGGCTGGTTTTAGTCCCTCGATAAAAAATATACTATTATATGGCTAAGTCGTAAATTTTGTAGCTAGGCAGGTCCTGTTATAAAATTAACTTACCTGTGTAAAATGTAAAAGTTCAATGTATATACAGTTTAAAAAATTAACTCATTCGCGCTATTGTTATCTGTTTCTCGCGTTTTAATGTCACGTGAGAGAAAGAGACAAAAACAATGGCTGCGCGGGCGAGCCCCAAAATACATCGTATTAGACTCAGACCTTAATCCACTTCCATCAGCTACATTATTATCCATAATTACTTTTTCACATTTCGCGCGCTAGCCTGTATCTGTAACAACGACCACTTTAAAAAAAGTTTCAAACTTAACTTTAATCTTAATTGCATCTGGCTGAACGGTTACCATACTAGACTGCCTTGCAGAGGTTGCGGGTTCGATCCTGCGCCGGGAGAAATATTTGTATCTACATTTATTTCTCTCGTGAGTTTAGCAAGCGCAACACAGGGTTTCAAGCTTTATTAAAAGAATATCTGCAAATAATCCATCCAATAAATAAATACTGAAACCACACGAGATAACTTCAAAGTTCTTGCTTGCCCGTGTAATTGTAATCAACAGTCGGAAGTATATTTTCGAAACCTCTGAACTTTAGAACGTAAGCTAAATGGGTTTCAGAATCGGATCAGAAATGGGCCCTAAGTGTCATACTAGTGTTATTTCAACGTCAGCCTATATTTTGGGTGCGTTGTGGGGGGGTTACACCACGCGTCCCGCAAACCCCGCGTTAAAAATTAATATATTCGTCGACAATCGCCCGATGGCGACTGATGCAGCAGAGGGCTGCGCGGCGTGGCTTTAAACTGCTGGGCAATTGTAAATTTTGAAGTAAATATGAATTTAACAACTATAGTGCTTTATTAAGTTGAAAACCAAAATTTAGCAGGTTCTCTGTATTACTTATATAGAAATATAATATAAAAATTGTGTACAAAATTAGATATTTTATTCTTACATAATTCGTTCTAGACTTTTATTTGAGCCTGTTTTCAGGATTTTATACGATCGGACAAAGTACATCCTATCTTGTAATGAACTTCCACATTCTTTACACAAATATCCTTAAGTGTAAGCATATACTTAAATAATTTCATCTAGCAAGTTTTCCCCGCTTCTCCTCCGCTGTTAGACGCGCTGCAGCAAGCGGCGGTCGCGCCACGGTCTAACAGCGGCTAATTTGAACGCGCCCTAAGAGCCTTTGCACACCGCGTATTTTATACGTGCGTCATTACCAAAATAAAGTGACAAATGGTCAAATGTCCGTTTTAATTAGAACAAATAAAGCACAAAATTATCTTTTAAAAACAGTTAAAATTAGTTAACGTGTTCAATTTATCGGACCTTGCCCTAATGACGCATACCTGAAATATCATTAAGAGCTCTCATGCCAAAAAAGTTTTGACGTTAGCTCCGCCCAAATTTATGGAACAAATATATGCCTGAAGTTCGCGTGACATGCGACAGGAGATGTTGAATTTTGCGCATTAAATGTACCAAATTGGTTTTAGCGGAATAACTCTAAATCTAAAGGGATTAAACAAAAATCCGTAGTGACAGTTGTCGATCATGCATACTCGTAAATATAATTAATTATCTAATTTTTGCCCTAATAACCTGTAGCATTTCGAGGATAAATCGAGAAAATGTGAAAATTAGAGGTCCTTTCGTGATTTTTATCTATCGAGGGAACTTTATTGTTTTATGTTTCTGATTTATGTCTATGCTTGAATATATCGTGTAGTTACTCATACAATATTTTATTTTTAATTTAAAGTGGATATACCCCTCTAAAATCAAATCGAAGATTAGGAATTTTTCCTCTGCTCCCTCTTAAACAGTTTCAATAGGATAATGTGACGTTTTCAAGTGTAAATTTATAAGTAATGTATAATTTATTGCCTATGGAATAAATGATTTTATAAATATAATGATTAAATGATTTTATAATATAAGATAAATGATTCTTTGACTTTTGAATATTCTAAAACTGGGTTATGGTTTTATATGATATATTTTATTTTGTCATTTAGCCACGTTTTCCAGTATGTCTCGCGCATTTTGATAAGAGAAAGTTTTAATTTCAGTTTTGTTTGTTTATTTGAGTTAGTTTTTTTAAATCATGCAGTTACATGAAATACTAAGTATAAACTCCATTTGAGTATATAAGCTTCTTGCTTGCAACGTGATATCTGCGTGCGTTTGAATCGATTCGGCGAAGTGGGCGCGTATAAAATACGCCGTGTGTATAGGCTCTAAGTTAAGCGGTTAGTAGAAGAAATGAAGTAAGTTTAACTCTCCACTATGTGTGATATTTTACAACTTTACTATTTAAGCATTAAAAAAGTTTTTCGTAAAGTTTCTTTAAACTGAAAAGTTGTCATTTTGCACATGTGACCTTATTACACGAAGGGTGTGAATTTAACTCGACTTCATAAAGAACGTATTTAATTTCATCTAATAACAGTGTTTGTATAGTTGGTTTATTAAAACAAAATGAATATAGTTATTATGCGTTATCTGTGTTAAATAACTCATTATGACTTTAAATATAAATTATTGACTTAAAAAAAGAATAATTTGTTTTATTTTACTATACTCCCAGAAAAACAGGTAAGTAAATGTACCCACAAAGTTTTCTTTTATAAATAATAGAAATAATTATAAAGATATTCTTTATTAATATTTTTTTAAATGATAATAATAACAGAAAGTGCCGATTTGCACAATTTAAACAATTAATAAAATATAATATACAAAGGAATGTAATAAGTTTTTAAAAATTAATAATACTCTGCTTTCAGATCACAAGTTTTACGACATAAATAAAGCAGTACTTCATATAAATCAGAAAAAACTCTGTAAAACCTATTATTACATTATTTACATTCTACTAGTACATTTTTTTACTTTGGGTAATGTATTTGCCGCGTGCGAATACAGTGTAGTACCAGATTCACTAAATTATATCACTATGCCTACAGTATTTTTATGCCTATGCTATCACAATACCTTTTGATACACGTGTAGAACTAAAACCCGCTTCTTAAATAGCCCTAATAAATAATTGTTATTAGTAGAAACGTTTTCGGAATCTCAAAGGGAACAACGGATTTCGACCAATAAACTACGATCCATATTTTCTCATTGGACAAATTTTTGTTGTCGCTCATGTCAATTTCAATATATTTATAATAATGTTTTTTTAATTAATTCTAAACGCGTGTGACAGTGCATTTAGAATTATAGGCACTGACAGTGTATATGTATAGATAATCGCGCGTTATCGTTCACTGCAAGTACAGTCGACGCCTTCTTATGTATTCCACAGAAAAATGTTAAAAGGAATTCCAGCTTAATGTTTGTGTATTCTGTATTCTAGTAGACCAAATTGGCTTAAGAAGTTTCTTAAAACGTTATTCACTAATCCAACCTGGAGGTTATACCGAATTTTTCGGAAACAGGTTAAAGGTTAGCTTTGTATAACACTTCTGTTCACATTTATCCATTCGGAACCAAATGAACGGGTAAAACGTGTGAACGTTCCAGATGCAGAACGCGGCAGATGTACTTCCATCTGCACCTAGCCACTTACGACAAAAATGTCTCATACGGCAGTTAGTAAGGAGAGAGACGACATATCCCCAATGGATCCCATTGCAGCGGCTCTAAAAATTTTACATGTCTGAAAATAACTTGGTAACTACGCGTGTATAGTGTTGTACAAATGATCCCAGTGCGCGGGACACTGCAGAAAGTACTTCCTGGCAGCAGCGAAGAAACGGCGCTTGTACTCCAGTGGCGACACCACTGTCGGCTGGCCAGAACCGAGGTTCTTCTTCACAAGGTGCTCCAGCTTTTTATCCCAAGTGAACGTTCGGATGTAATCTGGAAAATAAATATTAGACAACATCGCATACGTTGCTTTGATCTCAAAGTATCGTCAAAACATCAAAGTGTCATGGCAATCCGAAACAACGAGGGTACCACAAACACCCAAACCCGAGACTACAGAGCTCATCTAATCCTACCCATGATTAGAACTAACTATTGAGCAGTGAACAAGATTCGAGAACTATACTCTGACGAAGAATCCAAGAGATTTTTTGTAAACATAGTTTTTTTACAACATTTTGTAAAAAAAAAATACCTTTCAAATAGAAGTTTACTCAATTTGTTTAAAAACATTTTCTAGTTAAAATCCATAGAATGTAAATTATTTAGACGTATTTTATTTTTGGAAAGTTAATTTTTTTGACAAAGTTATAAAAAGGTTAAGAAATATTGGTAGAAAATATTTTACGACACTGGTGTTATCAGAGCAAGTAGCAGAAGTTTAAACCATAATTTTTGGTATTGACACCTTTTCGCCATTGTCTTTTTTTTGTGGCTTTGCTTTCGTATTTAGCCGATGAAAGGGTTTTGAAAGCAGAATTACAGATTATGGAAGAGGTACGGAATTTGGATGAAAAAGAATTGGGAAGCTTGATATTATTATTTTCAATAAATAAGGCCAGAATATTGTAAACATCTTTGTTGCATAAATATGCAACTAGGTGGAGAGCGGGTCACTGATTGCCAGGAGTTCGGATACGAAAGTATCGTGGTCAATTGAGGGGCAGGAGAAGATATGATTTAGATCCCCATAGGCCTCGCATGAGCAGGCAGGGTCAGGAACAATTTTGAGTTTGAACAGGAAGGCGGGAGTTGTCACGTGACCAAGTCGTCTACTTTCGTCGCTCGTCCGTCTTCTAATTCGAACGTGTTCCTTTTTCACCGCGCGCGTGCATCTAAATCGTCGTTATCAGTTTTGTTACTGTTTTTAGGTGTGTCTGTTACTGTTATTAGTTTTTGTTGAATTTTCAACCTCGATATTGTGTTTGTATTGTTACAAACACTTTTGGGTGTCACGCGCCGGTACTACTATATTGATCCTTGGTAAAAACTTGCTTTGTATCCCTGACCTGTCACTTTGACAGATTCAGAGTATAGCGAGGTTACGGCGACACGTGGTAAAGGAACGTTGGAAGACTTTGTAGCTTGGTTGGAATGACACATATCACGTGACATATCATGACATTTCTTTGTTTACTATAGTTTGCTATAGGGAGGTTGGAAGGCTGTGTAACTTGGTTAGAATGACACACGTCACGATGAAACAGTGGCATGAGGTACCGATGATGCCGAGCGTGAGCGTGTGCTGGTCGATGCCGAGCAGCAGCGAGTAGTCCATGACGTCATGCGAGGCCAGGAACGACGTGTCCCGCTCCACGCACGCCCACAGCACGCTGCCGGTGTGGGACGCCACATACAGCTGCGTCTCCCACCGCACTGCGCGGAACGAGAAATACAAAGCGATTATTAATGATTATAACTTTTTTATACAAAAAAAACCGACCTCAATAGTTCGTGGAATTACATCTATTTGCCAAGTTCTATTGAAATCGGTTACCGGAAAGTACGCGAAGCCGAATCATCCCCTAGTTTGCCACCCTTAGAGGTAGAATATGTTCTTCAAATTGAAATGGAATTGGTCCCAGTATTGGTACGGTCTTTCCAACAAAAAAAGAATTATCAAAATCGGTTTACAAATCACAAATTATTAGAAAATACAGTCTAATTGAGAACCTACATTTTTTTGAAGTCGGTTAAAAAGACATTACTACTTACCGGATAAGTTGCGCGTTTGTCGAATTTTTGTTCGATATCTTTCGAACCTATGCCAACTGTGGCCTGAAGTTCTTTAGAACGAAAGCGGTTCTTGTACAGAAAGTGTGAGAGAAGTATAAGAGTCGTATTCTAGAACTCTATTCAATGCTCAAGTCAGGATTGCACTGGCAACACAAGCACTGGAAATACGACCCTAATGGCAGGGACTTGAGTATGATTTCTAGTGCTTTGAATCATACTCAAGTCCTGACTTAAGCATTGTGTAGAGTTCTAGAATACGACCCTTAGAAAGGTACTCCTTAGATTATGGTTTAAAGTAAAAAAGTCTATTACTTAAAACGACTCTCTCGCTCTTTCACTTCCTGTCTGACTCCCTGTCTCCTTCGACATCATTATTGTTCGACACGTACGTTAATTTATTTTATATAGTGATCTGTTTTAACCATTTTTAACATACTACTTAATACGGTACGTACTAATGCGGTTTATTTTGCTTGGGTCAAGCGACAGGGACACTGGCTATATTTCAGAATTTGTTTTTTTTTTTAAAACGCAATTAAAGCCTTTTGAAAAGTGCATATCGTATACTATATGTGTTCTGTTTCATCATTGGTATATGTAAAATTGAATATAGCAGTTTTCTTGTAAAATTTAGAGGTTAATTTGTGTTCTCACAGAAAAACAGAATCGTGTTTTCACATCGTATAATAATCAATGTATATCCTTAGAATAATAACGCATAGAAACCTAGTCCGCACACGCTAAGTGAGGCAAATTGAAGCGCTCCCAATGGGCCTACACGAGCGGGCGGGCCTTCAGTGCTCAAGATCAACTTGCACCGCGAACAGCTCAAGAATTTTAGCTAAAAATGACGAAATGTGCGGTAAAGGAGCGCAAAAATACGTCAGATAAAAATAAAATAGATACTAATATCACATTCCACAAGAAAGTAACGCGTTTCAACTTGTATTTTTATATAAATATTCACTAAAACCGAAAATTAACCTACTACTAAAACTAGCCTACATGAATTTGATTTTTGCCTCACTTGTGACAGTTCGTTTGATATGAAACTATCATTCTATGCGTTATTATTCTAAGTGTATATCCTCAATTGTAGTTGACAACTCACAGTTAAGCAGATTCTCGTCCATGAGCACAGCCAGCGGCTGCGTGTCGTTCGTTAGGCGATGGCGGCTGGAGCCCTTAAGGTCAAACCGCTTGGCCTTCTGCGAGCACGAGTACCACACGTTCTCCATCACCAGCACGCCGTTGCCGGCACCGCCCACGCTGTACACGCCGAGGATACGAGCTGTGGAGAAACATGCACGGCACATACCTCTACATTACAGGATTTACAGCGCCATATACAGGGTAATTTTTAAAATACTATCACACTCGAAGGGATATATTACGTACATTAACAACTTTTGTACAACCTGAGCACGCGAAGTAGACTGAGGTTCGTATTCCAGAACTCTACTCAATGCTTAAGTCAGCTTTTCTTGAGCAAACTTGAGTATGATTTTCAGTGCTTACTGCAATACTCAAGTCCTAACTTGAGTATTGAGTAGAGTTCTGAAATACGACCCTTAGATTGATTCGTAAATAGAACCTTGAGCGTAGCGAGGGTTTCAAGACACGAGACGCAAAACAACTTTGCTGCCGAGCGAAACACACAACTTTTTGTCTTATTATAACAAGGAAAATGGTAGATGAAAAACTGTAGAATTATATTTAATTATAACAAATCAGTTTTAATAAACAAAATTAGTTATCGTTTCCAATTTACAATGTGAACAATAATAAGAATAAAATGTACATAAATAACGTACGACAAATCGCGTAGTTGAACGTGTCATTATTTTTTTTTCCATCGAAAGAAAAAGTTAAGTGCACCACAGTCCATCGTCAAGTTCGAATTTCAAAGACCTTTTCCTCGCTAGCGTGCTAAAAACGCTTTTGCGCGAATTTCTAAGCCTTTCCGAGTTAGTGAGATGAAAAAATATTTTTCTCAAACATGCTCGGAAATGTTTGCGTTACTTTCAAATAACGAACACGAGAAGGCAAAGCCTGCAAAATATGAAAATCAATTATTGTCTACTTCTCTAAACTTTTAAATCTATCTACTATAAACTGAATAAAGTCTGCTGTAGTATGCCGAATGAAGTCCTTTTGCGTACATCATGTGTCAATGACAGTAAAAATTTGTAGTCGTTATAATTTGTTTTTTGTCAGATTTGTCTTATTTAATGTTGTTTTTTTTTAATGCATTTTTTTATTTTTTATTAATTATTATTTCTTTAATTTTGTTTTCCTTGTTTGTGTTATCATTTTTTTTTGGTATGTGGCGTTGCAATAAATGTCTATTCTATTCTAAACAGGCAAAAGAAAAAGACTGTGTGGGACACCCTGCATAATAAATCAGTCAACAATTTAAATTACTGATATCGGATTCCAGATTCAACCGTGACCATAGAACCTGTAAAGAACCCGAAACGTTGGTTTATTTAAAAAAACAAATACACGCATTAATTTTATCGTTTATATACATTGACTTACAATTATATGGACGTCAGGTCCGCGCTAAAAAGTGTCCGAACTTATACTGCGTTAAAATCGTATACAGAGCGTCATTCACGCTTTAGTCTTCGTTTGTTCGACTGACAGCGAAGCAAGCAAAATTAGACAGTACTGCGATGACATTAGAATTTAAATTCAACGTTTTAGCTTTTTCATATTCCTTTACATGTCACTACGTTCAAATAGGTTGACTTGGGGCATTTTTTTCGTGGTTTTTGTATTAGACCCGCCGTCTATTTATTTGTAAGTCAATGTTTATATATA